TCTCTCTCCTGATCTGTCTGTCTCTGTTCATGTCTGTCTGTCTGTCTCTGTCTCCTGGTCTGTCTGTCTGTCTTTCTCTCCTTGTCTGTCTGTCTCTCTCTCTCTCCTGGTCTGTCTGTCTGTCTCCTTGTCTGTCTGTCCGTTGTCTGTCTGTCTGTCTGTCTCCTTGTCTGTACGTCTGTCTGTCTCTCTGTCTCCCTGTCTATCTGTCTGTCTCTGTGTCTGTCCGTCTGTGTGTCTCTGTCTGTCTGTGTGTCTCTCTCTGTGTGTCTGTCTCCCTTTCAGTCTGTCTGTCTGTCTGTTTTCCCAACCATACATAGATGGACAGACAGACAGAAGGATGGATGGATGGATAGACAAAGGGCCGTCCCTCCTTCCTTCCCTCCTTCCTTCCTTCTGTCTGTCTGTCTGTCTCTCTCTCCTGGTCTGTCTGTCTGTCTCCATGTCTGTCTGTCTGTCTCTCTCTCTCTCCTTGTCTGTCTGTCTCTCCTTGTCTGTCTGTCTGTCTCTCTCTCTCTCCTGGTCTGTCTGTCTGTCTGTCTCTCTCTCCTTGTCTGTCTGTCTGTCTGTCTCTCTCTCTCTCCTGGTCTGTCTGTCTGTCTGTCTCTCTCTCCTGATCTGTCTGTCTGTCTGTCTCTCTCTCTCTCCTGTTCTGTCTGTCTGTCTGTCTCCATGTCTGTCTGTCTGTCTCTCTCTCCTTGTCTGTCTGTCTGTCTCTCTCTCCTGATCTGTCTGTCTGTCTCTCTCTCTCTCCTGGTCTGTCTGTCTGTCAGTCTGTCTCTCCTGTTCTGTCTGTCTGTCTGTCTCCATGTCTATCTGTCTGTCGCTCTCTCCTGGTCTGTCTGTCTGTCTGTGTCTCCTTGTCTGTCTGTCTGTCTGTCTGTCTCCTTGTCTGTCTTTCTGTCTGTCTATCTATCTGTGTCTGTCTATCTGTCTGTCTCTGTGTCTGTCCGTCTGTGTGTCTCTGTCTGTCTGTGTGTCTCTCTGTGTGTGTCTGTCTCCCTTTCAGTCTGTCTGTCTGTCTGTTTTCCCAACCATACATAGATGGACAGACAGACAGAAGGATGGACAGATGGATAGACAAACGGATAGATACACACATGGACAGCTAGATGGATAGACAGACAGACAGATAGACACACAGACAGATACACGGACAGATAGACAGATGGATAGACGGATGGACAGATAGACACGTACAGGCACAGCTAGACAGATGGATAGATAGACAGATGGACACATGCATAGATCTATCCATAGACAGACGGATGGATAGACAGATGGATGGGTACATGGATAGACAGACAGATACATAGATAGATGGATAGAAAAATGCATAGATAACAGACAGACGGATGGATACAGGGACAGATGGATAGATTGATGGATAGATGGACAGACAGACACAGATACGAAGATGGATGGATAGATGGAAAGACAGACGAATGGATGGATGGATGGATGGATGGACAGGTCCATAGATAGATCCATACATAGATAGACAGATGGACAGACAGATGGATGCATGCATGCAGATATATCCGTAGATAGACAGACGGATAGATGGATAGACAGATAAATGGATAGATGGATGGGTGG